CTTCAATTCGGCAGACAAAAAAAAAAAAAAAAGCCAAAACCTGATTCAGCCACACTTAACGGATAACTTAAATATTATATCCCTGATTTTACAGGAACGAATGAGTCCTAACTTCCGCTTTTCCTCACAACTGCTATGTTTACAGGAGAGTACTGTCTCTTCTATAACCATATTTCAAATTAAAGAGGACCAGTTTTGACCAGTTTGAAAATAAAAAAACAAGATATGAAACAAGAGTGCCAATAACTCTTACTCGTATCCGTAAATTTCTGAATACTTCATGGGTCGGATTAGTAATTCTTTTTTATCTTTTTATCAATAGGAGCCGATATTGCGGAAATTTTTCGAAATTTTTTAGGAGAATGGTTTTTGTGAATTGTTAAGTGAATCGCAATTGGATAATCCTAAACTCATGCGACCGTTCAAACAAGCTGCTTATTTTGAAAATATTCTGTGTCGAACAGGGAACGACATTGTTAATGAGGATTTCGGCAAGTTACTTCTTGAAATTAAAGTTTGCTTTATTCTTGGGATTGAGAAACCTGGCACAATGATAAAGCGGATATCTGCGAGCCAAAAATCACGGAAATTTGAATGCATGATCCCAACTGACGTAATGTGAAAAACGTGATATAATGGCCAATATATGATTAAGACGTGAATAATCTAGCATGGAATTTCATCCAGGTTCACTTGTCTTAGACAATCTCCTCGGTTGATGACATTAACCTGTTCAGGAGAAGCCAATATGTCCCAACTTACGAAATGGCGGGTAGAGTAGAGGATCTCCTTCCTGATGAACTAATTACTAGGGAGTAATGATTAACCCATTCGCTTTAGTCTGTTCGACCAGTATCGCTGATATTTTGCAATAAGATATCCAGATCAGGCAATAACATTTTGGGCGGGGAAATGCCGGAATGAAAGGAAACAAAAGAGATAAAGCTAAGATCCTATGATAATGTCTTAATGCATTTGAAGAAATCTGATCTTAAAACGTGTTCAAAGAAGTAGCCAGAATCCCCAATGCAGTCAATGATTTGCCGTAACGAATCTTTAAGTACTACGGAATTTACTTTCACCAAAGCAATTAACTTCAAATACTAACCTACAGTCATGCAAAAAAATACAACTCATAGCAGACAAAAGTTGATCACCAAGTTACAAAAATAAATCTCGTTAACTTCATGTTTCTCTGGACATAAGAATTGGTCATATCAAACAGCTAACTGACGAGTGATGAGGAAGTGGACAACTTCACTAACGACTCTGTGTTACAAGATTTAATTTTATTTATCACGAGTAATTCATATGCATTACAAACACATCTCTGCTTTGCTTAGAACTCTCCGCAGAATGCCTTAAACGTTGCTGACGGGATGAAGAAGAAAGCTTTTTTGTATTATATAATATCGATCATAGTTTATTGGAAGTTGAACCTTACTACAAATTATATCTTCATTTTCTCACTGGCAATTAGTCCATTAATGTAGCTTATGATCGAATATTTTAATTGAAACTCAATTCAAGTTCAGCAAAATGGCAGACACAAAATAAGTTGAAAATATATCACACTAAACTGTAGACGAAAAACCGTTGGAAAAATCAAAAGACGGTGTGATAACAGAACTAAAGAAATTGTCAGAAGAAGTGGACCAATTCAATTTATTTCATCGACAATGACTCTAAACGTTAGAATCAAGGATTACGATGACAGTACGGGCACAAAATTGAGGATTGTGGAACGTTTTCTCAATGAAAGGACATAACTTTATGTGCGTTGACATGTTCGCAAGATCTATAAATATTAGAAAACAATTGGTCGAAGCTATTGCTCTCCTCAACTAATTTCACCAAACATTCTTTTTCCATTAGACTTCCGCTTATCGCGCTTTTTTCTTTCCCTCCCCCAGGTTCACGTCCTGCCGGTGTATTTAAGCATCTTCAGCCAAGAATTTTACACATTTAATTTTTGCTTGTAGTTGTAGCTTATTTGTTTGCTATCTCTATGTACAACATACTAATGATTATTTGTTCAAATTTCTCACTGAAATATTTCATAATCTCATTTCACAAATATCCAATCACTGTTGCGCAATGCGAAATTTATAATGAAAATATAACTTTTTTCAAGGATGTTAATGATCATAAATAAACATTTGTTCTATTTAAATGAATCAACCAATGCAGTTCAACGGTGCGAAGTAATGATGACAACGGCTATTGAATCCTTACTAGTAATATTCGTAGATCTTACAGCACTAGGATACCAATAAAACAAAAACAAGCCTGCCTTTAATTAGATTGTTTCGATTTCTCCTTTGCTCTTTCGCCTCTCTCATCCGCGATCGCTTCACACTCATCATCGCATCATCAACGATCCAGTCTTCTGCCATTCGATATTTCGCTGCTGCCTGCACATTTAAAAAAGGAGCATAAACACAATAATTTATACACAATTTTTCTTTTCGCTATCTCTATTTCTCTAAGTTATTCAGCAAGCGAAATCATTGGTTTTCAGTATTCCACGTTTATTTAGAAAATATTCTTTAGAATATAAACAGATCCAAAATCCGCTAATCAAACTTGACCTTAACAGTGCTGAAAATATGATCAGCGGATCCTATCGCTTTTTCGTCAGCTACTATATCATGAATACTTTTGTTAGCGTGATAAATTGCATCAACACTTCCGCGACTTTTTAAATTCTGAATGCACACTTGTATGTTATTGCAACTTTCTTATCAGAAGTCAAAAATTTTCAGTATCGTCGTGAAATTATTTCAAAAAAAGTATGGAGACACGATGAACAAACTATCCATATTTACATCACAAAGGACCACAAGAACTGTCTGACAACTACGGTTTAACACAAGAATTGTTTGACAACTTTTAACTCAACCATACTACGGTTGTTAGTACTGAATCTCTCGAAAGCTTTCGTTTATATTACATATTTAGCTACTGGAAGCAAGCAAAATTAAAAAATCTTTGTTGCCCAACATTTTTTAGACATGAAAACTAATTTTCATACATCCTTCTAAAAAGTACAAACTAATTCGTCAAACAACTTTTATCTATTTCGCTAATCTATACATATACATAAAAAAAAGATGGTATGCAACCTTTTCTTCTTGTTTCATAGTAGCGGGTATCACCACATCACCCACATCACCTCCGTCAGTTCTAAGAAGTATTTTGCAAGTCGAAGATGGGCCTTGTCCATCTTTTTTTAGAGTATGCAACTCTTTCTCCAACTTTTTTATCAAAGACTGCAAAATTTCTATAGTGTTCCGTTGAATAATAATAATCATTTTACCCAACCTTCTGAAAATTATTTTACCTAATTTTCAGAAGCTTAGGTAAAGTAGAGTTCTGGCTGAAACTGTCCAGATGTAAGTACAGTGTAATTTTAATAGAACATACCGTTTTGCCTTGTAGTTTCGCTTTCAATATTTTTGCTCCAAGTTTATTGTGCCGTTCTAAATTAGTTTCTTCGTTTCTTATTTCTCCAGTGTTTGGACTATTCTTCACTATTACAATACTTTCTAAAGGAGATTAATAAAATCAAAGGAAAGAGATATCATAAAAACCCACAAGTCATTATAAAACGTCATAAAACTTCGAGTGTCAAAAAAGAAAACCTGAAACAAGAGCAACAACAGAACTCTATTTCACGCTCTACGATAAAAAATGGTAACGAATAAATCATACCAAAATTTTAAAATTAGAAAAAATAAACAAGATTTTAAAGATAAAAATGCAAAAATCAATATTTAAACTTAAATTAATAACTGTGAAGAGTCTTAACAAACCTTCCAGTTCCTGCTGCGACTTCACACTTTTAGTAACAAAATCTTTGCCAGCAGCATAACTGCCCAATTTTCGAGCGAACTTTGGATCAATTGGTTTTGCTCTAACTAGGCAAGACTCATCTTCATCATCGCTATAATCGATGGGTTTCAAAAAGCGCGACATCTGTAAAACAGGCAAGCCTACAGCCAATCTTCTAATCCGCAAATACAAATAAAATGATCAGCACGTTACACGAAAGAAATTAATCAGCAAACATCAAAATAACAAAGCACTACCAAAATCTGGATGGAGAAATTTAATCTGCATATTAAATAAAGTCTTGGCAAACTTTATTATTAAATAAAAAATTGAAATATTAAATAAAGTCTTGGCATTAAAACCATATGAATGGTTGGTGCGTGATGTATTTTTTCGAATACTTATTTCAATATGTAGAAAGAGTATAAAGAAAGATCATAAGTACTTTTAAAGACTCTAATACTAACGTTACGACGTACTTTCTCAATTAAATTTATATATAAAATTTATATATGATTGTTTTCTAAATTTATATATGATTGTTTCCTGCATTTGCCGCTAACTGCAACACAAAATAAGAAAAAAAAATTAGAACGTCAAAACTGAAATGAAATCAATTTCAATTTCTTGGCTGATTTACACGATTCTCCAACAAAATATAGAAAAAAAGAAATAAAGTGAAAGGTAAGACACTGAAGGACTCTATCATTTCACGTTTGTTTATTGATGTATTTTATGCGATATCTCAGTAAAGCAAAAAGCAATAGAAAATTTTTTGAGATATAGTAATGTAAATTTACAAAACTATTTTTCAGCTTATAAATGAACTATTTATGAAATATAAGCCACATGATTTCCTCGGATTTTCTGTTCTACCTAGATTTGAACTGGAAATAAAAACTTACCGGACTAAGGACAACATTTCAGTCTATCAGTTGTTTCCATGAATTATGAGCATAACCACTCAATGCACAATATCTTTCCAGTCAATATTCACTGTAGCTAGATGAAAAGAGTATTGTGCATCAAGTAGTCATGCGTCTACAATATCACTACTACCTGAAATTTTGCGAGAAAAACTGCAGTCATCCGTGTCCTCTTTTCAGGACTACTGTTGATTACGAACAAATTGATTTAAACTATTTGAAACCCTAATACTGAAGTACTGATTCCGAAACTCTTATGTTCTCTCGAATTACTGTGATTATACATGCAGATTCCTTAATGTTGTAATTTTAGCGGGTGGGAACTTTCTGATGAAGCTAACAAATTAATCACAAAATCAAATTCATCATAGAGAGATTCTAAACGTAAGTTTGTCATAAGTTATTAAGTCATACGCTCATTTTCGAAAAATTCCAAAAAAGTGACAAGTATAATCGAAGCGCATGACTTACCCGCAGCAATAAGGCACAACGCATAATACTTTACTATGTTGTTTAAACAATTTATTAAATTTGCTTGCAATTTTCGGCGCAAGACGCAAAAACATGTGGAAAGCTCGCATTCCAGTGGAGACAATGCGCGCAGCAAATTTGAAAATATAACTCAGAGTAAAAGCACGACAACTGAAAAAAAGGACCAAAAAATATGCCAAGTATATTTGGAAAAAAAAGATGCTTGCCGCACATTACTCTTCTAATGTAGCCAAAAAAGACTACGACGAAAACGCAGTAATGCAGCATGCACCCAGTTAGTAAATGATCTTTACATACACTATCACTATGAACTCTGTAAAACCAGTGAAAATTCACTACTTTACAGATATAAACGGGGTGCAAAAGGCAAGAAGAAAAACGGCAGATAATCATATCCTCTTTCAAGAACAGATTTAAAACCTTTTCATTTATTTTTCACCGAACGTAAAACTACACAACCTGGGAGAAGTGGACCTCTCTCTTCACTTCATCTCCCAAGAACTCGAAGACCTGATACTTTAAAATATGGATTTGATTCAAAATAAAATGAGAAATGTATGGCAGCTCTTCTATGCTCATCCAAAATATTGCCCAGAACCCTGAAAACAGCACCGATACTATTTGTCCAGTATCACATACGTAGTTTACAATTACAAATACACCTCCTCATGTAAAGAACACCTGGAGGTGCTACTTTTTGATCCCAACCTCTAACACAAAATATGTGCTAAATAGCTGCACTCACCGGATTGCAAGCGCGTCTACAAAAAAGAATCGGACGAGGGTTGATCTGAATTTAGGAGACAATAAGCAAAACTCATCAATAAATAGTAAGAGCGGAGTGGAAATCAATGAGTCCACTGTGTATCTGTCCACCCTGTTGATGATGCAGCCTCGTAGTAGGCCGCGGCGGCGGGGATTGCATTAGCGTGGTTTTGCTGCGTTGTTGTAATGGTGGTACGTTGGCGAAATAACGCGTAGAGATCGCCATAACGTTCACGTTCACGCGCGAGCTCACGTTTAAGCCCCTCAACTTCTTTACTTAATTCTGCATTTCTACGTTCCAAATCACGCACGTAATCATCATCCAGATCGTAACGCACACGCTTGCTATATGCAACATAGGCATCAGCAGTACCATATGGATGCGGACGACGACCGGGGTAAGTAGAATACGATAATGCTAGGACTGATCCTCGCGTTAAGGATGGCAAAACAGAAGCTGGCATGCCGCGTGGTACTCGGCGGCGTCGCTCACGCTCTTCCTCAACGTTAATATGCCAATAGCGACACCGTTGTCCACCGCGTGAACATGAGCCTGTCTGGTATTCTTTGCAAAATGGTATACCATTGATAGTATCGCAATTATAAACTGCAGCAATTTCACGCGCTAAGTTAAGCGTCACCTCCCCTGTCATTTTGTAACGGTCAACATCCTCCCGATGCGCATGAATATAGCGGCAGTTATCACGATGGCAGCCACGATTCTGAAATTTCACATCGCTGCATTAACTTTTCTGGGTGCTTCCTCTGCTAACTCTGTGGGTTGGATTTCGTCTCGAAAACGAGCTCCCTGTAAAATGTGACACTTTCATGGCACCCGCACTAGCTATCATGACGTAATGACAGTCATTTCTCCATAATAAATGGCGAAATGTGATAGCTCCAAATCGAAATTCCACCCAGTGTTCTTCCTGCCTTAAGGACTCATCCGTTCATCAATAAACAATAAACAAATTGTCTCCGTGGTAGTTTTCACACCAAGAAAAGGTTTACCTGATAATCAATGCAAAATCGATATTCGATGCCTTCTGGTGTTTGCTGTGATGCTCGTTGTCGAACAATACTCGGAGGATGATAAAATTTACATCTTGAGCCACGATTGCACATATTATTTAGAAAGTCTCTGTAATGAAGAAGCAAAAGAAGTGATAGCCGATACTAAAAATGAAAATATATATATATATATATATATATAGAAAATATAAAATATATGTACAGACATCTTACACCCCTGCATTCACTATTTCTTCCAGTCCTTTCCCAACCGTTATCTTCACACTGAACTAGTCTTAGGACACCTACGTTACGTTTTGACAGATATAACGCCCTAGTCAAACTCCCCGCCTGACACCGTCTTCGGTGTGAGCTGCGAAACATGTGATGCTTCAATTCTCTCGTTTTACCCAATAAGAATCGCTGACAATCTCTGTCAGCCAAAACAGTCAACAATGAAAAACTACAAGCTAACCTGCAGACATCTTCTCGTGCAAGCTCTCTTTCTTCATCCTTTTTATTTCTTTCGACTAACTCTCCCTTTTCCAACTCAGTACCGCCATTCTCATTTATTCCTAATTTCTTTGGAGTTTGCTCCGCATTCTCACTACTGTTTCTTCCCACCTTCTCAGAATCGTCGTCGGGATATTCATCTTGCTTTTTCATACCTTTCATTTCTGCGTGTTTTTCACGAGACATTTTTTGCTGACCACTGTTCACAACTGAAAATGGCTTCAAGTACAATGAAACAACTTGAGGGATCCCGTCGGTATATTTAGCATAGCCACAGTACAGACTACTCACTAGCTTCCCAAAATGCATCACACTGCAAGTTATCTTTGCTGGTTAATGAACTGCTCACAGTTCACGTACTAGTAATATCTTTGAGATATACCATTTAGATTGTGGATAACATCAGAAAAACTAGTTGACAATTTTGGCTTCCTTAACAACCGATCTCAACTTATTTAAAATAATCCAGTGGGTGACTTGTACTCAATTATAAACCAATAAATTTCATTCTGGGGAAACACAAATTTATGCAGAATCGATTTCTTCCCCCACATCAAAATGAATACAAAGTGAACAAAACACTATTAAATTAAGCCGGAAATAAGCATGAAGAGCGAACAACATAATTGTGGTGAAAATAAGCAGGACTCATAAGTACCACATTCAACCCTACCTTTATCTCAATTTGAACTTTTTTTATTCAAGTAACATGCGTTAATAAATAATTGTAGAACACTGATAATAACATACATCGGAAAATGTGCATGAGATTGAAACAGTTGAGATTGCAATATAGGCGAATAAGAGTAAACTTAGAATCAAAAGAATTAAAAGTTTCAGATAAAAATGAAAGGATAATTTGCGAAAATATATGCTGTAACAAGTGACTACTGGCGAGAAACACAATTAACAGAATCAAGCGAATTGCTAGTAAGAAAATGAAATCCCTTACAACCTTATCCTTGCATCGCTCACAAACGACCAATCCATAAGGAGCAAGGCATCACAGTGATCATACAAAGGAAACAAAACTCTATTAGTAACTAAAAGAATTTTTTTTTATATCCATTACAGCAATTTTCTTGATTGCTTCTTCCTCGTTAACTCTAAAGAATCATCAAAAGTCAAGTCAGCAAATACATCGTAGAAAATTGAAGCAATTTGATTTAAACAGTGACTTTAAAAAGGTAAACTGATACTTCGGGGAATTCGATGATTCGTTAACGGGAATGTGAGCACATTTCCGATTAAGTTTATAAAACTGAATACAAAATTGAAGCAGAATGATCAAAATAATGCCAAAGTTTCAAGATTTAGCACAGGAAATTCAAAAAAAAAAATTACAAACAATAGCAAAGAGATGCAAACCGAAACATCTCTATATCACATAGATTCTTTCAAATATAACCGAATTACTTTTCTTCCATTATGGAGACAATATGTGGCGGCTTTTGAACAACGTCCATTCTATTAGAGATAAACCATACAGTGGATATGCACTTTTCAAGCTGCTAAAAATATCAGTAAATGAGATCTCATCCTTCTATTAACTCAAGAAGTTCAAAAATTCAAGATGTTACCGGTACTGCACACGTTGCACTTGAGCGGTCTCAGTACCATTGAAGGAACCTTAATATACTGAATCAGTCTTCGTAATAATGCACTTCGGATTGTTCATTTAAGTGGTTTTCATTACAGCGTTTTTGTAATTATTAAGGTAGTATTAACAATCTCACGTTCTTTTTTGACAGTAAAAGGATGGAGGATTGTCTGTTTCATATTTGAATGATGTGGAGTTTAGCAACATGCAAATATCTACATCATGCAAATATGAACAAAGCAGACAATCCTGCATACTTCATGTGTAGATTGTCTCAAAAGAAGCAAACTTATTTTGTTTGTAATATTACCTTAATAATAACGAAAACGCTGTAATGAAAACACTTAAATGAACAATCCAAAATATATTATCACGAAGATTAATTTAATTTATTTGGTTTTCTTCGACGATACTGAGAATGCTCAAAAACAACGTGTGCAATACCGGGACCATCTCCTTTAGTTTGGTATTTGTATTTGCAACTATGTCATAATTGCATTATTAACTCAGCTAAAAAATTGTTTTTTACATACCATTATTCACCAAACTCGCATTAACTGTTCCTCGAACGGAATTTTGCATTGCGGAAGTCAATACCGACATTGTCGTGCCCACTGGCGAATAATGTTGTCCAGGACGAATTGGTTTCGCTATAATTTAGTATTTCATTGAATCCACTTTACTGCAACTACATATATTGGATGGCAAAACAAATAAAAGGCTAACCAATCTGAGGAGCAGCAAGACCTCGTCTGGCAAGATTTCTCTGACGCACAGCTTCTTTGATTCTTTCAACTTCATGTTGGTATCTGGAATTATAAGACCGATAACATTTGGAAAATTATTCCCATTTAAAAATATCTCTTAGCCACTAACTTTTTCCTATCTCGCATAGCATTTTCTTTGGTTTCTTTCAGTGCTGTTTCCAAGCTCTTTACACGATCCATAGCAGCACGTAGTCGTTTTTCCATTTTTGGTAACTCACAACGTAGATCAGCATTGTCCCGCACAAGCTGCAAACTCTTCATTCAATTTCGAGTTCTACATGAGTGAAAATAATTTTGTCTATCGAAGCCTAGGAAATGCGGAATCCATATCGTAATTACATTAGCAAAGGCAGGAAAAGATTCATCTCTTTCCTTAATAAACGATAAGAGTCTTCATCAACCTGTTTGTGCACTTTGGTTAACTGATCCAAATTATTTTCTAAAAACGCGATCTTTTGTTTCTGAGCCGGAGAAGACATGTACTCGTCTTCATTTGGCTCCGTGCCCGTAGGTGCTCGCTTAATTCTCTGTCCGATATCCTGCACAAACATTTTACGAAGATTATGCAAAGTTTGCAGTTCTTTTGCGACTGTTTCTTCCAGCCCTAGAATGACAGAAATATTACTCCTTCAAAAGCGTTTGCAAAAATGTGAACAGCCATTCTAAATAACTGAACGGTAAGGAAGAAAATTTGTTAAACTTGAAATGTTCGAGAGAAATTATCAAAACCAAAAAATGATACCTTTCAGATCACTTTTTGCCTGTTCCCGTTTCTCGGACAAACCAGACAGTTCTTTAAGACGCTTTTCTTGTTCCTGTTCATTAATTTTCAGTTTTTCGTAATCAGCTTGTAACTGATTCTTAGCGACCCGTAAATCTTGCAATGATGCCTGAAATGTATTATCATGCACACATATTGTGCTACAGCAATCATTTTAAATTCTGAGAATGTGCAGGTGTAGGGATGAATACAAATGATGACAATCTCTGCGGTTAATCTCAGGTATAAAAATATCAACAGAAAGTAAAGCAGAGGCATACTGACAATGAGTTCCTCAATTTTACGGCTTTTCTTGGCTACTTCATCTCGCAGTGCAGCAACTTGTTTGGTATGTTGCTCTTTTGCTTCATCGCTTATTTGTACAGCTTCACCGCCTGCGGCCGCTAATTTTTCATTCAACATATCTACCTGTAATGACGCAAAAAGTGAAAGTAAAACAAATATTCTGGCAGCAAAGAAAACTTCATTTCAAATCTACATTAAAAAAAATCTCTCTCATACGTTCATCATGAGAACTGCAAAATCATCATTCATAAATGAAGTATTTCAGAAATTTCAAAACATTTGGAATGATTTCTGAAGAAATCAAGGAATTTACTTGCTCTTCAAGTTGACGTTTCATTTTTTCTTGTGCTGTGATTGTTTCCTGCAGTGATTTATTTTTCGCCTCATTTTGCTGCAGAAGTAATCGGCAATCAGCTAAATCTTTTTCGGTGCTTTCCAGTCTCTGTGTTACATCGCCAGAACCTGATTCTAGGCTTGACATTTTCTGAAACAAAGTATAATTCGAACAGTGACAAGTTCCAAAGCTTAATTTCTCTCTAAAATAGCTTTCTTGAGAAAATTTAAAAACTTTTTAGACATCCCCAAAATTAAAAAAAAAGAGCAAAAAGATGCCTGAAGCGTTGACTTGAAATCAGCACTTAATTTTGATATGCAAATTCGTGCATGCGCAAACAATTCTTCATCATATGGTTTGTCGGTTCCGTTTTCCATATTGAACTGAAATAGAAGTGTGGGATAAACTGAAATAGAAGTATGGAATTAAGAACTTACCAAGCAAAGTTTTGAAAACTACACTCAGAAGGTAGGATTACAGGGAATGTGATTTTCAAACCTTAGCTGCATTGGCATAGCTGCTACCAACTTCTGACAAATCTCTTAACATTGATTGCATCGCATCAGTAATACGTTTTTTCTGCGTCGCACAACTTTCACGTAATGTTTCCAATTCTGTGGTCAGTTCCACGACTTTTATATTTTTCTTTGACAACTCATCCTGAAACCTCGCCAGAGTATCAAATACTAATGCGAAGGACGAAATAATTTCTGTTGTTTATACGGAGGAACATACGCTAAGCTGTTCATTTTCCCGAGCCTTCTGTTCCGCTTCTTGTGTTTTTATATCGTAATTCATTGCAAGTTCTTCCAGAGCAGTCAGTACTTCTTTTGATTCTTCTTTTGAAGCTTCATTTTCACTCTGAATACGGCTCACTTCTGCCTGAGCATTCTCATAATCGAGCTTGATCTGCCTGATTAATTCTTCCTTAAAATGAAAAATGATAAAAAAGCGCGCGAAATGTTCAATATGTCTGGCTTACATCATGATTGTTCAAAAAAGTCTGCATAAATCCTATTTTAGCATAATTCCATGAAACTAACCTGCTCATTCATTTGCTGCTTGAGACGTTCAGCCAGTTGGGAATGCAGTGTAATTTCATCATCTTTTTCATCCAGCTGAAAACAGAATATATACAAATTAACATGTTCCACACATTTCAAAGAATTAGAAAAAGATAACACGAATAACGATTGAAAAAATTAACTTTTAAAATTAATACTTACTGAAATGGAAAGCTGGAGGACTAAAAAAAATCTCATTCCCCTACTTTCATAGACAACATTGTTTACAAGAAATGAGAAATAATACAAATCGAATAATTGCGAAATTTTATGAATTACCAAAAAATTTATTTAAGCTTCAGTCCTAAACAAAATCAAAAATTCTGACCTGTTGATAGAGTGCAGATCGTTCTTCTTCATACTTCTTTCGATCGGCATCAGTAATTGCACCAATTGCTGACGTAAGTAAAGGTACCGGAGCAACCGAAATCGATCTATCAAGTGAACCGAGTACCGAATCACTGACGGATGGTGAGAGTGCTGAAATTCAGCATCATTTTGGATACATGAACAAAGAAATTCGGCAGTTTAATAAATCCTGAAGGAAAATATCATATTCCAGAAAGTTGTGACAAGCCACAGATTTAATGATGCTGTCAACTACTTTTTTCGCTTAATTTTTTAGCACAGAAGCTGAGAATATATTACAAACATCAACCGACAACCTACATTCTGCTCCAGGCGGAAGTTGTAGGCTTACTGCAGCACCTTCAAGTAGGTTAACCCATTCCGTCTCGGGCACCTTTTCACCTTTTCTCCACCGATTTAGTTCTGCCTCTGACGCCATCAACTGTTGCTTTAGCCTAGCTACCTGCAGCAAAAACACAGGTCAAATAAAAACTAAATCGTGTGGAATATATGAATTCAGTATCAAGCAAGAAGTACTGTAACCATGGCAAGATTCTGGAAGCAGATCCTTGACAGCAACAAAATTTCGACTGATATTGATCGTGACTTAATAATGATTTACGGAGCCCTGTTATATGATTACTCCATGAATTAAATCGAGACAAATTAAAATTCATATGAATGTAGAAAGCCACAACATCAAAACAATAAGTGAAATGAGAAATAAAAATTAACCTGCATTTTTTGAACAGGTGTAATACCTCCCAAGCAAAACCAAATAAAAAACCAATATAAACAATAAAGCATCAGTCTCCTTTAAAAAAATTGACCTTCTCCTTCTCTCGCTCATAACGTCGCTTCCATTCTTCAGCTGTTAATTCTTCATTCACTATAACAACATTTTTAATTGTTTTAGCTCGCTGTCCGAACATCAACGTGCTCTTCGTTTCTGCTTCATTAACAGAAGCTGGAGAACAGCAAATTACAATTGTTGTCCTTGAATTACCACCCAGCGATTCTTGTAAAATTCGGGTTAGTTTGCTATCCCGATAAGGTACATGTGCTTTCTGAAATAAAAGACTAACTTCAGTTTGCCCTCGAAATTACGAAAAGAAATTTCGATTCAAATAATATTACTATGATCACCATTTGGAAAACCCACTGCAAAATGTGAAAAAATTGCATACTGTTCCTTCAGCTAATGCAGCTATTACATTTCCAAGCGCCGACAAAGACTTGTTAATATTTTTTGCTTCTTCCAATACTGTGCCCTCGGCGCCTGTCTTACTGACCTAAACATGGGTCGATAACAGATTCGGAATGGTTTCGGAATGATGTTCAGGAAACAAAAAAAGATTGGAAGCCAGAGATCTTACTTTTTCACTTCCGGCAAGATCAACAAGATACAGCTTTCCAGTTAATTTTTTTTGAGTCGCTGTATTCTCTTGTTTTACTTGTATCAGAAATACACTGTGACTCCTCGAACTATGCTCATTCATATCTGTAAAAACAAATCCACTTGAACAGATTACCGTGTATATGCTATTTTCTGAGAACCACTGGAATTTCGCAGATCTTTCAAGCTCAAACAACTTGCTGAAAGTTAAAGATCAAATGTGTTCCATTCTAGTCAAGCCTTATTTATGACTAATTTTTGGTGATGTGATCGAATTTTTCATGATGGAAAGTGGAAAGCTTAGTATTTTACGCAATAGAATTTCCATCATACTTTCCAGATAATAAACATGCAAGTGTTAAAGCAAGGAATCAAAACAAGCAAAACAATGCTCACTTGTGACAGCAACATGCCTATTATTTTTCCCTTCATCAATGCAAGCCATGACTTCCTCCGGACTAGAAACAAATCGTTCTGTAGCTCCCTTCACATATGGTACTCGATTTTTATCTTCATGAATTGCAAGGTTCATCTTCGTTACTAAAATTTCATGTATTATGGATGAAATGTAGTTTTGACTCTTCGGAAATTAAAAAAAGAAAAGAAAAACTAAATTCAGGTTCATGTTCTCATTGAATATAAATTTGAGATTTTTGAAAATCTTTGCGAGACTAACTGGTAGACTTATATAACATAGAAAACATAGAAAAACTTGTAGTGGAATAAATCTTGACATACCGTCCAGCAAGTCACGAATCTTTTCGTTATAAATCTCAAAATATGAAACTTTAATATGAAACTCGAGATCGACATCCATATTATAAATATGATTGAATATATCTTGCACAATACGTGGTATTATACCCTGCTTGTCCGAATCACCGAAAACACCCTTGAAAATAATTCACATACTGCAGTTCGCAAATACTACGTAAATTTATGATGTTAAGCATACTCGGTAGGTTTACATAACATAGAAAACATAGAAAAACCTATAATTAGACCTTACTTCATATTCCAATCTTGCTTTTACGCATCTCTTCAAACCTGCATGTACACATGTAACTAAACCATATAAACAAGAAAAACATATAAATATATATAAACTAAGGACCAAGAAAACAAGTAGCAACTATCAACAAACATCCCTGAATGGAAAAATAGCAAGAAATCATTTGTTCAAATGAATAACCAGTTACCTCCATCGTGTGCGTCTTTCCCGATGATGTCTGCCCATAAGCAAATACAGTACCGTTGTAACCAGACAGAACGTCCTGTACGATATGATAAGCTGCACCCATGTAAACTTCCTCTTGCGTAGAAGTAGGCTTGAATACTTTGTCAAACACATAAACCTTACCCTGTAAGTTGAAAATTTTTTTTGATCTTTCCTGACGATAAATAAATTCATGGAGAATCTAAAATTAAAATAACCTGAAAAAATTTTCCGTATAAACTCAGACTATGCTAATCAAACTACAGTATTGACACAAAAAAATAAAAAACAATGACTTGACGGTATGATGAGACCGAAATGTTGCATTACTGAGTAATTTGATCGAAACTAGATGAAAACGAATGAGAGAAATCTAATTATAGATGCTTTGCAACAGCAGAACAAATGACCAAAAGACCGTACCGCAACCGATATCGCTTCCTGTGAATCGGATGAAAATTTCGGCACAAACCTCGAGTCGCCTTTTTCTTCCATGCTGTTGAGAGGACGGACACGGCAAAACACCTGCAAAGAGATCATAAACAAAGTATCTACAATACTAGCTTAAGCTATACAATACTAGCTAAGCTACTGTACTACTGGATGGACTACTGATCGTCAACGGCCAACTTTAAATTTACTTTCAAAAATCTAACCTGTATACCACATTCAGCAGGATTCGGCACCGGATTCGCCATGACTAAGAGATTCCCGTAAGGCTGTGGCCAAAATGATAAACCAGTTATTTGTTGGCCCACCTCAGCAGCCTAAAAACAAATTTCACCCTTAGTAAAGACTACCACTTTACACACGAACTGTTACATTTCGTTTAAAACGTAACATAAAAAAGCCTGATCAAAAAATAATTCAAAATGGTAAACAACTGCATGGCAACACATTTTGTGATGCTCTTTCGGAGGATGGTAGATGTATCTCTCCGAATTTGCCAGATTTCTCGATTAATTCTGATCTGAATGGATTGCTTGAAAAATGAAATGCTTGATGCTATACGAGACCGCTAGGAGTATTGCTGTAAGCGTACGTAACATGGATTTAAACCAGGGTATGAGGAAAGAACCTTCGTCAAAACATATAAGCATCTTTATATGAGAAGATATAAACATTGAATCTGTGAAAAATAACATAATGGCGTGACATTTATGAATGACATAGAAAAAGTATTTGTTTGTTTGCAGAGATCCGTTCAGCTTGAAATGAAGTTTGTGGACAATCGCGATGCAACATGAACAGCCGGAAGATGGACAAAAAAGAACTACACTAAGTGCATTTGTGAACATTAAGCCAAGATTGACTGACTGGTGACGACTCAAAATGAAATAGGAAATAGAGCGCAGTGCAATTACTGGGCAACGTCGGACAGTCAGGAAAGGAAAACCGGGAAAGCAATGGAGCTTTCAGCCTCGATTCGATTTGTCCTAGAAAAACAAGTAGAAATGGAAAAGGGAAATCATGGGACAAAACCCTTGAAGGGTCTGCCATGAGATGAAAAGGGGACAATGAAAGGGAAGGAGGACCGGATCGGACAAGAGCTTTCCGGATAACTTCCTCTGCCTGCCATGTTGTTCGAGATTCGACCCCAACCCCTAGTTATGGATGTGTCTCCGTCTCACGTATGTCCCATACATACAACAAGAGTATTTGGAAAAACAAAGAGCACGAGAAAAGAGAGAGTTTGCGAAAGATAATATGAATGGAAGGGTAAAGAAACATCTACATGTATATGTCTTATGGACATATCACGCGGGCGACTCAGCCCTGCTCTTCCTTCTATGGCCCAATTTTTAAAGAGACACATGTAGTGGTGGATACATGCAACCGCAGCTGCAACTGCAGGAGTCATTGTATGCACTTTAAGGGTACCGCACTGGACATTGGCACCCAACATTCCACAGTGTTACCTTTCTTCTACAAATCTCACTGCATCATCCTTGCCACTTTTCAGCTATTTCACTCGTTGTCTTTAAATCAAAGTGGGTGCTAGAATGCCGTAAAGGTACCCCTATTGCTCTTTTATATAATTGCTAAATTATATAAAAGATAATTAGTTAGTTCTCAGTCCATATGCAATGTTTAAATTAAAAGGTAGTATGGTATCCCAAGCGACATCATTTGTCATCCCTGTGGTTTAAATTAGCATTACATTCTTCAGTAGAGACTTTCATTAAATTTGGGGAAATATAATCCGCATTCCTCCATGAAAACACCAAGCACTTTGAGTTTTGATTCTGACAAAGGCCGCCTCTTGCCTTGGTCTTATATGAAAAACATTGCACACGGCTTCTTCAAGCAAGTGCTTCATATCCAACCATGACTTCTGGTAATAATGTGCTACACAGTACGGTACATAGACAGTACAGGCAGATGTAAACAACCCAGCTCATCCTGTTTTTCTTTAAAATGATCGAGACAACTAAAAAAATTCAGAGAATAGCTATACTGATCAGCCACTGACATGAGAATATCGCAGATAGGCTTCGCGAACGAAAATATATGACATTAGAATATAGAAAAAATATTTTACATATGCAAAGATAATTGTTAAGAAATATTTTTAAGATGGGAACCATCATGATTCAGCTAATTTTTAAAGTTTGATAAGCACAAATATTGCACTGAAAAAAAGGAAACACTTGATATGCAACAAATATTTAGAGCATTTATTTAACATCAATCCTGCCAATAATTTTCAATTGGGACAAAAATATACATCACGGAAATTGCGTATTTCGGGAACTTCATGTGTATCATTCTTCAAAAAATGAAAACTTTCGACTTTATTTTTCTTCATTTATAAATTACTGGTATATATGAGCTCAACAGTTGAACAAAAGTATCACTGGATAATTGGTAAAGTCCGCCAGATAATGAAGACAACATTTCGACAAAATGTTTCAAAACGGAAAAATACCCATTTGTTGAAAAATTTTTGTGAACTATGACATTATCTGTTTCTTGAACGAAATTTTCAGCTCATTTCGGCTTATGGTCTCTTCATAAAAATACGAACCATGTGTGTAGGCATGCCAGGATGAGAAAGGTAAACGATGCAGTTATATTTACTGACGCCCGGTGGTAACAAATTTCTTTTGTGGTAAATTATCACATGCAGGAAATAATCTGTCACTTCTCGGAACGTTCGCACACAATAAGCACACTGCTAAAATTATTGACATAGCTTATAATTTCTTCGGTATCTCATAATTATTACCCGGTATACAATGTCTTGCAGGTATGTATTGCTCTAGATGAGAGGATTAATTTGGCATTTGAAAAGACAATATTCCCATCAAAAATCAGCCTAGTTCCAAAGACAACTGATGTTAAAAATTAATAAAATCAAAAAGACTTCATAAAGAAAGAAAATGAAAAGAACCAACAAATTTTGATCCATTTGGAATAAGTAAATGTGGCGTACCTGTCTCGGTTCAAGCTTTACCGCCTCTGACCACTTCCCATTTACGAAATCTACTCTTTCAAGACTGGTAATAGACGTTTTGTGTACTCGAACAACTATAAGACAATCTCTATTACAAATTTCTACATTCCAGAACTTTCCTTTTCGAGTTCAACTTCATATGTTTTTACCAAATTCTAAACAGTCGAAAAAAGCATCCGCGCCAGAGGTATACTAATCAACTTACACGTGTTTTTGATTTTCAGCGACGCTGAGAGCTTCCTTACCGCCGTGGATGCAAAAACAGTAGAAATGTCAACGAGATGAAAACTGAAGCTCGGTAAATATATTAAAACACTCACTACAATGTGCTAAACTGTGATGTACAGTTGTTGAAAAACAATGAAAAATACCGTGTTCGACCATATCCGTTCCTTGACTGCTTCGATAATCACAGTTCAAACATTTTGGGAGTGTTGGAGCAGTTTCCGACGTCGTAGATTCACCTTTGCTTGATATTGTTGTAGTTAAGGATGTAGATGGCGATGAAGGAATAATTGCTCCTGCTGATATTGTTGCCGCTGTTATGGGTACATCAGTTTTCGACAGTTCAGTAACTTTCGCTGGTTTCGTCACCTGATTCTCCAGCAAATCAATTTGAGTGGATCCAGAAACGTCCATAGGAAGCCTTGTGACCAAAACATCCGTCGAACTTATTTTTGGCCCATGTTTCGGTTCTAAAAATGGATATAATCTTAAACTTACAACTTGTAAATAATGCAGTAAAGAAAAAATAAAACAACATAGTTAGGACATGGCACTCTCTTGATTCAGATGGAAACTGAAATTTCTGGATAAGTGTTGAACGAGGTGTTCAATTTTCTTTCAAATATGAAAAGGTCACCACCCAATTCCACTCTCGAAAATTCTTTGTCCATCTGCGGGTGAATGGCCTCTGAGTTAATGGTGGTAACAATAGTTGAATCATCCTGTGTTTTGTTCACTTTCGTAGTTTTTACATCATTTTGGGAGTTCTTCCTTTGTTTCAAGCAAGGTACTTTAGGGTTATCCGGCGAAAAAGCAAGACCAGTTAATTTTCGCTTCGTTGTTGTTTTTCGTGCATTTCTCTGAGAGCAATCAGAAGATGCTTTGCGAAATGTTGCCGATAATCTGACTGCCTGCGGTTTACAGCTCTCTTTGGAAGATGATGTATGTTGGCTTTCCACTTTAGCCTGCAAAAAGATATCCATCCGTTATCAATGATGTTTCAAATAAACTGACAAGTAGAATACAGCTGGTAATGGAGAAATGAAGAACGTGATGTGAAGGAAGAACACCTTTCATTTTTTCGATGACAGAAAAAAATGAAACCTTGATGATGGAGAGTCCTCCTTTATCGAACTCATAAATTTGGTAGCACAGAGAGACTGCTTGGTGCACCAAAATATGTTCGTCGAAATCGTTCCTTACGCTGAACGTTGTGCCACATTCATAGCATAAGAAGAAATTTGCCATACCTTAAAAATAATACAAGTATTACTGCTGCTGTAATTATGGCCACGTAGAATAATAAACGCAGTTTTGGCAGCCAATGAGGGAGATCAGAGAGTGATGTGAATAAGCCTCAAAGAACTACTTGGCCTAATCACCCTAAGCAACGTAACCCCTAGTACCTGTCCCATAACACTCCGTAACAACCTCGCCTCATAATAGCGGCCATAATTGTTCAACGCACTGATTTTTTTTTATTATCCCTGACCCTGAGCTGCATTATATGTTCCATATTTTGTTAGTCTTCCTCTATCTCTTACAAGCCATTCTGCTCTTTTTCTCGTCGTCAAGCGTCTAAACCTAATCAACTCTTCTTCTTCTTCTTCTTTTTCTTTTCATTGAAAATGTCACATACATTTCTCATAAAGGCAATTTGTTGGAAATGGCCACCCTCTGGTTCAGCTCTTTTTTAGCTGTGCATTCTTCTTCTTTCTCTCCCTCTCTTTCTCTTTTCTAATTGAGAGATGAAGATTTACGAGGGAAATGAGACCACTAAGGAATTCCTCTTTCATTCCATTCATGACCATCTCTATAAATCTAGGAACTTTTTATATGAAATTCAAAGATTTAGAGTAACCATATTCCAGTACACATTGCAGTCCAAATAAATTAAATCGAACTTAGTTCGCTTTTTCTTTGTATTCGTTATATTTCATAATCTCACCACAATTTGATCGTGTTTTTCATATAGCAAAAAATGGAATTCTATTGTCCTCAATTGAAATACTACTTCTTGTTGTTTCTAAAAGTTAAACTTATAAATAGGCACTTTGCAGGAATTCGTCTGAGAAGTCTCATCGTACTGTTCTTATGCTTTATTTCTTCACTGACTCTGTTTGATTTGAATAAAAAAGGATGGAATAAAAGTTGTAATGAAATGCCAATAAATATTATAGGTACTCAATATGAGGACAGAATGTTCCTCTTTGGATACGACAGTTATTGATTATATTATCTAGTCGCTTTGCAGCCGAAGAATGGCAAATCGAATCAAAACTCCGACGAATGTCAAGCTACTCACTAATGTAGCAGTGGTCCGAATGAAAAAGTGTGGGAAACGATTCGAAATCGCATGTTACAAAAATAAAGTGATCAGCTGGAGGAACAAAACGTTCGTGAGTTGTTTTGTTACCAAAAAGATGGAGTGGCCTTTGTAAATACTTTGGTGAGCGAAGCTCACCATTTTCGAAAGGATGATGGTGAAATGAAATGGATTGTTAAGGCCATTTTGGCGAAAATGTGACGTTGGACACATGACAACTGGACACATATAGGAACGGGAACACAACAGTAAGAACTCATAGTGAAATTTGATTTTCATAGGACCTGATAGTTAAATTTGATTTCAGTGAAAAAGACATCGATGAAGTGTTGCAGACACAAACGGTATTTACTAATGTATCCAAAGGGCAGGTAGCGAAACGCGAAGAGCTTAACACTGCCTTCGGCACAGACAACCAGTTGGAAATTTGTAAAATAGTAAGTTATATAAGTTATAAAGGTATAAAACTTTGTTTCTTTCGAATCATTTAGTACGCAATAAAAGGAGTAGTTGGTTCTGGATATTCTTCAGATATGTTGTTGTTCTTACAGTATATTTTGTTTATAGCAATTATATGCATTCATATCTCTACAAAATTGTTGTTGTGTTACGTGAGTTTGAACTTCTGTTGATTCTATATAGACCTCAAGCGCTACTTGAAAATCTTTGGACCGAAGAAGTTGCTAGTTTCTTTTCTTTATTCAATTTTAGATCTTAGAAAAAGGTGATCTTCAAGTTTCGGAGAAAGAGCGCCTGGCGCAGTCCGATTCGTCATTTAAAGAAATCGCAAATTTAATAGCGAACATGTGTGTGAATCCGGATACGAAACGTCCATATTCTAGCAGTGTTATCGATAATGCTTTGCATGAAGCACATTTAAGTCTGAAGCCTAACCGCTCAATAAAGCAACAAGTAAGAAAACCATCGAAATTTTTGTATTTGCGGAAGTTTTCGGAGAGTAGCCTTTCTTGCCGCAACTTCAGTGGGACCATGATTTGATCTCGTCGAATTATATTCACATTATTAAGGCCTTGGAAATAATTCCTAAACTGCGTGAATCAATGAAAATTGACCGAGCAGAGATGCGACTTCGAGTGTCTGTTGAAGCGAAAGAAGCTAAACGCATGCATGATCGGCTGAAAGGGATGTTCACAAAAATTGAAGTTGAAGATTGGGAACAAGGGAATCTTGAGATGGTAAATCGTTTAGGGTTCAATTTTTCAAATTCCATAATGCATTTTTTCAAGCAGCAAAATTGAGAACAGCTAATTTATAGTAAATGTACTGTTTCATAACCCTTGCTTCAGGTTGGACTAATTGATCCGGGTGCATATCGATCAATTGAAGAGTTACTTCAGAAGGAAACGAAAAAAACAGGACATTTAGAATTACTAGCTCTCAAAGTTATTGACGAAGGTGATGTTGAAATCTCATGATTCGCTGTAAATCATTTCTCTTCATGTCTTGTTTGTAGTTCGGTGTCGAGCAATTTGGTCGAAATTTTAATTGTTGATCTGGATTGCTCAAAATAGCTTTGGGATTTTTATGTAACTTTAATTTTTCTCCGGGAACTTTATAATTTATTTGATTTGAAGTAACGAATATTTTTTATAGAGCATGACTGTCTTTTCGGAGATTGTTTCGGTTAAACGTTGAGCGACACACTTAATAAATAGAGGCAAACAATTCTTACTAACTCATAGTTGTTCTGAAAGTGAAGCGAACATAAACCTTGTTGAAGCGAAGTACAATCACTGCGTTACAGATTCATCTGCATGTTTGGAAGGAAATTGAAATTTCCCTTATTAAAATTAGATTGCTAGTGTTAACAAAGAGCTAGAAATCAGAAATAGGAAGACCAATTTTTTAATTTGAATTGTACGACTTTCTAACACTTCGGTGAGATATTACGATAATTCGACAAAATAAGGAATAACGAATTGGCATTCTAATAAAATAAAAAGTTTTCAGTAGCTTCAACTCATTTTAATGGCAACCCTCCTTAAAATTAAGATTATCTGTTTCTTATTTCTAGAACGGAAACGAAAACCCGTAGTACTCGTTAAATACTTCACTTTTTTGCAATAACTTTTATTTCGAAATATCCCAGCACTGAATATCACGTGCATATTGATATACGCATACAGAATAAAAGCAAAAATATATTGTACATTGAATATATTAAAAAGGAGAACTAACATAATTATAAATCAGTGCAAAGCAAAACGATCACTGATCAACACCGTAATTGGTATTAAAAGACAACTTAGACTTTCATGTCTTTTGATATTAAGGAGTATTTCCGCGTTTTATACATCTCAGAGGTAATATATTCTTTATGGTGAATGTTTAGTGCATCAACTACCCTTCGGAGAGCATTTTTCATTTGAAAATTCTTATGGACACAGTTACAGTGGGAATATTTGTCTGGAAAATGTTGTATTCCTAGGTCGTTCAAAGTGCTTCCTATAATGGAACGTACGTTAATCATTCAGACTGAAGATTTATTAGAGATCCATGTGTTGGGAAATTTGTTTTTCTGTTGGACTTGTTTTTCAGCGATATAGATTTATTCGGGATGTAATATTATTCTTCACAATATTATTAACAACAAAAGGGGTGTAAAATATATATGTATATATTACACGATGAATTGATGAACAGTGATGATTTATGCAAAAAGCAAGCAATATGATCAACTAATAAATTCTTTGTCGTTGCCTTCGATAATAATTTGACTGTCGGTTAGTTGATAGGTCGTTGAATTGAGGATATGTTACGGGAAATACATTTAGCGAATAGAAAGAATATCGTAGTTTATTTTCCAGTAGTGGTGGATATGCCAAGATGTCGTTGT